AACCAGAGACCTTTAAAGACTATACACCCTCAGCAACACTTCTTAAAGCATTCAAAGATGCTTACAACCATGATCCCTTTGCGAAAAGAACTTTGGAATACCTCCAGAAGAAAGGTTCCTCTCTTGAGAAAGTTGGACTACAGAATTTCTCAAAAAATCAGCATGGACTTCTCTTATTCAAGAACTATATCTATGTCCCAAGGGATAAACGATTACAGCTACACCTCCTACAGCAGTTCCATGATGCTCCAGCTGCAGGGCACTTTGGCTTTGCAAAAACTTATGAACTTCTAACAAGAAAGTTCTACTGGCCTAGTCTAAGGACTACTCTTCAAGACTATATATCTTCTTGCACTACTTGCAACTTGAACAAACCTACACGGCAAAAGCCCTATGGCCTCTTGCAGCCTCTACCTATACCAGAACGCCCATGGGACTCCATATCCATTGACTTTATAGTCAAGTTGCCTCCTTCTATCCCAAAAGGGGGTGCTACCCCTTATGACTCTATCCTTGTGGTGGTAGAAAGGCTCACAAAAATGGCACACTTTGAGCCTTGCAATGAGACTATCACAGCTTCTGAACTTGCGTGGCTATTCCTCAAGGTGGTCTTTAAATATCATGGAATTCCTGGACACTGGATCTCAGATAGGGGAGCAGTTTTCACTTCAAACTTTTTTAAGGAGTTCTCTAAACTCTTAAACATGGAACAACGCTTCTCTACAGCTTATCACCCTCAAACAGATGGCCAGACAGAGAGAGTCAACTCTGTACTTGAACAATATCTAAGAATTTATACAAACTATGCTCAAGACAACTGGGCAGATCTTCTCCATCTTGCAGAATTTGCTTACAACAACACAGTCTCTAACACCACAAAAGAGACACCTTTCTATGCAAACTATGGTTATCACCCTAGGTTTGAAGTGGCAGAACTGAATTGTCCTGAAAATTTCAAAAACCCTTCTGCTACTGAAAGAATCATCTACCTTAAGGGCCTCCAGGACTATCTCAAGGTTCAAATACAGCGTGCACAAGACGAGCAGGCTCAGGCCTTTAACAGGGGGGTGGTTGCACCACAATTCAAAGTTGGTGATCAAGTCTTTTTGTCTAGAAGACATATCACAACTACTAGACCTTCAGACAAACTTGATACTAAAAGACTTGGACCTTTTAAGATCACAAGGACTATTGGCAAGAATGCTTTCGAGCTTGCATTACCACCTACTTGGACTATCCATAATGTCTTCCATGCATCTCTCTTGTCTAAGGCACAAGAAAGTTCCTTAAGACCACTTCAGTCTCCTCCACCTCCTGTTCTGATCTTGGATCAACCAGAATATGAAGTAGAGTCTATCCTTGACAAAAAGACACTTAGAGGTCAGGACTACTTCCTCGTTAAGTGGAAAGGCTATCCTATAAGTGACAACACTTGGGAGCCTAAGAGAAATCTAAAAAATGCATCTAAGCTCATTCTAGAATTTCTTTCTAAGAAAGCCAACTGGCTAAAGGGCAAGCAGACAGCCAACAAACGTCCTTAAAAGGGGGATCATGTCATACTGACATTCGTTGCACTCAGTTTGCTATCAAACTCAAGAGCAAACTTAGAAATCTCCTCCTCAAACCTACAAGTCACCATACATATCTTGGCTTATCACACCAACAACAGAAGCAATACTACTCAACGATTGCTGCAAACTCTTCTACTACATCTGTTTATGCTACATACATCACGGCATATCATTTGGACACTCATTGAACAAGTTATTAAGAAAATCTCCTCCTTAAGGGGGTGGGCCAATACTACCACATGGCATATCTCTACCAACTAGAGGCCTAGGAACATGAACGATAGCTCTAGAAGCTTCTACAACCCTCTATGATTCATTACACGTCATCGCTCCTTAGTTACCCACAAGATTGGTTAAGTTATGACATAATTTGTCTATAGGTACTCTGACCTTGGACCTCCTTTTCACTTCCTATAGGCTAGGAACCCAAGAGATGGTTCTATGGGATTCTCTTACGTTCACTACATGATTAGCAAGCTAGTTGTGGGTCGCACTTGATTTCTAATACATTTACCAAGCCTGGTTAGTCATGGAAAGTCATGGAAAATAAGAGAACTACACTCCTTTGGCATAAATAGGATTGCCCTTTCCTTAAGAAAGGGCAAGCAGACAATACAGTAAATCGACTAGCACATACTTCTACGTCTTTTACAAGCTTCCAAGCATTCATCTTGTTACTCCTTGTTTCTGAAAAGTCAGTGAGGTGTTAACCTCTGACTTACCCCTGAGTTCCCAGACTCAACATTTGTTGCAACTTGTCTAACCCACTTCACCACATCATACACCTGATTGCTGCGTTGTGGAATAGTCTAAGCTACAACCCTTTGGCTCTGTTTCCTAAGACAGTGTGTTGTCTTAGTAAATTCATCCCTTCCTTGGGTGGCTAGATTCTCATATCTGGTGCACTCACCATTACACTCCCGCAGCGTCGTTTGATGAACTACTTGGTTTGCAGTCTCGTTCAATAAGGTGTACGCTCTAGTTCTCACTGTTGTAGATCAACCAGGAGCAAAGCGCTTTGGTCCGCTCCTTGATCTACTGTTTTAAACTGTAATAATGGTTTAACATGCTTTAGAACACCTGCCTCCATCCTTCAACCGGCCGTCACATCAACCTCAGGTATCAATCCAAACCTACGAATTTATTGACCTCCTTGGCTTCTCCAACAGTATAGGAATGTTTGTCCAACAGTACAGATGGTTTGTCCGTGGGATGGGGAACCATTGCCATCTATCAGCACTGATTTCAGCCCTGAGTTGATCGTCAAACTTGAACTTTCTGTTCGAACAAGCCAAACCTTCATGGAATACGTCTCTTCAAGAACGTCGGCGGCGGAAGTATTGCAATGATGGCGAGCCAAAGATCCTGGTATCTGTCATACTGACATTTGTTGCACTCAGTTTGCTATCAAACTCAAGAGCAAACTTAGAAATCTCCTCCTCAAACCTACAAGTCACTATACATATTTTGGCTTGTCACACCAACAACAAGAGCAATACTACTCAACGATTGCTACAACCCTATATGATTCATTACGTCATTGCTCCTTAGTTACTGGGCCGATATGACCACATAGCATATCTCTACAACCCTCTATGATTCATTACATGACATCACTCCTTAGTTACTGGGCTAATACTACACATGACATATCTCTATCAACTAGAGGCCTAGGAACATGAACGATAGCTCCAAAAGCTTCTACAACCGTCTATGATTCATTACACGTCATCGCTCCTTAGTTACCCACAAGATTGGTTAAGTTATGACATAATTTGTCTATAGGGGTACTCTGACCTTGGACCTCCTTTCACTTCCTATAGGCTAGGAACCTAGGGGATGGTTCTATGGGATTCTCTTACGTCAACTACAGTTACCAAGCCTGGTTAGTCATGGAAAGTCTTGGAAAATGAGAGAACTACACTCCTTTAGCATAAATAGGATTGCCCTTTCCTTAAGAAAGGGCAAGCAGACAATATAGTAAATCGACTATCACATACTTCCACGTCTTTTCCAAGCTTCCAAGCATTGATCTTGTTACTCCTTGTTTCTGAAAAGTCAGTGAGGTGCTAACCTCTGACTTATCCCTGAGTTCTCAGACTCAACATTTGTTACAACTTGTCTAAACCACTCCACTATATCATACACCTGATTGCTGCGTTGTGGAATAGTCTAAGCTACGACCCTTTGGCTATTTTTCTAAGACAGTGTGTTGTCTTAGTAAAATCATCCCTTCCTTGGGTGGCTAGATTCTCACATCTGGTGCACCCATCATTACATACAACAAGCTGAGAATGTACACAATGCTATGGATCTTTCGAGCTTTTTAAATCCAGTCGATGAGGATATACAAGAGTTAGAGGGGTGGGAGGATTTTCAGGGGGGGGATGCTATTCTTGAGGATATCATGTCACAATACGTCCCAGATACCACTCAAGATGATGAGGAAGAGGATGAGCCTTCTTCATAGCCTGTGCCAACTACACAAGCTGTGATTAACGCCATTCAAGTTCTGATTGAGTTTACGGAAACTGGGAATAGTGACACCTCAGAAGCACCAACGCTCTTACGTTCTTTTGAACGTTTTGAGAGACAGTTAAGGCTCCTTGAAGCCAATTCACAAAGGCAGGGGACATTAGACTCATGGTATATGTAAATAGCTTCAATTTTTAATTTAATCACGTGTAATACATTTACTCGATATATGCATTAAGTCGATATATTTTTGTGGATCCGAGGCATCGACTTATCGTATTTTTACTGTACTTGCAATCATGCCATGCAATTACGGCTGAAAACCTCTAGAGTCTCTCGCTGAGTCTGGCGCGTCACTTATCCGCGCTACCTTGGTCAGGGTAGCAGTTTGGCACAGCATACTAGAGTACTAGGCACGTGCCTATGGAAGGTTCGAGAAACCTGCTAACCTCGCGTAGCGAAGATCCCATGCTGGTAGCATCCCGAGGGGATTGATGAAGAGCAGGATCTGACGAGAAGAGTGCCTTTGACACTGCGAACAGATGCATTGACTTCGCATTCAACATTAACTTACTCCGTAATTCGTCACCTCTCAAGTCACGTTTCGTGGAATTGCTTTCAGCCTAAGGCATCAAATGAGATAATTAGTCAGCAGCATTCGAAAGCATGAGCAATCATGTCGAACCTATATCTACAACACTCCCACGACCAACTGAGAGGATCGAACAGCTGGTCTACGCATCAGCAAGTACCCACCTCATTTCCTTTGTGCACAATACAATTATGTCTCGAAGTCTAGCTAACTCGTCGTCTTTGGTAGGGTCTCTGAAAAGCGGACGCACAACATCCCATACGGAACAATCCAACTCGAATGATTCTTCTGCCACAGCAGCAACTCTAAAGCGCAAAAAACTGTGAAACTCTTAACAGCCGGCGAGGTATGCTTTTTTCACCATGACAGCTGCTCTTGAGCTCGACAACGGGGAGCACATTACATACGAGTCGGCCCGCAAGAAAGATGCCAACATGATCAATGAAGCAACATACCCTGGAGCAAGGAGACAGCTCTTTCAGAAGCTCTGGGATCAGCGTGCAGCGATCGAGGACATTGTTCGGCATCACCTGAGACTGCGCGATGAAGACTCTTGTATTGTCGAGGACCAATGGATTCGTGGGAGCTTTAATGTGTGTATACCTGTGGAAGTATGGTCGGCCGGCTTCAATCAGAACCTGATCTTTCGCTGTCCTATGCCACACAAGCTTGCCGAAGCCAAATACCCTGGCACTGTTGACGAAAAGCTAAGCTCCGAGGTGGGAACCTACGTATGGATGCAAGAGCATTGCCCTGACATCCCTATTCCACGATTATACGGCTTTGGCTTCTCTGACAATCGACACGTAAGTTTTTTATATTACTTGCAAATTCCTTGCTAATACTATGGCTTCGTCTACAGTTTATACACGAACAACGAATGCCTTTTTATGTCCACTTTTGGCGTAAGCTTCAACGTTCTTTCCGCAACTGTCTTCGATACCCAACTTTGTCTCAATATGCTTTCAGACCGACCTGCCTGCGCCTTCCCACTGCATATATGCTTCTTGAGCGTATCGGCCCCAATACAGGCGAAATACTCGATGATACATGGAATGAGTATTGAAAGGAACCAGTCCGGAGGCAGAACCTCTTCCGAGGCATGGCACGCTTGATGTTGTCTTTAGCTCGTATTCCTCAGCCTCGAATAGGCTCCTTCGACTTTCACAACAACGGCACGATCACATTGACAAACCGACCACTGCCCTGTTCTATTATCATATTAGAAAATAATGGTGCCCCGAGAACGATATCGAGAAATGAAACATACACTTCCACCGAGCCTTTTGTTGCAGATATGCTTACATTCCATGACGACTTCTTTCTCGCCAATCCAAACGCTGTTTCAAGTATGGGAGACTGTCTTGGCCAGATGGCTGCTAAAGCAATGCTCAGGGCACTCTCACATCATTATATACAGCGGGAAAGCCGTAACGGGCCATTCCGTCTTCAGCTTACCGATTTTCATGCGAGCAACATCTTCGTGGACAAAGACTGGAACATTACATGTCTCATAGACCATGAGTGGGTTTGTGCGCTACCTACCGAGATGCTTTCCGTGCCGTATTGGCTTACCGGGTGCGCTATTGATGACATAACGGAAGAGAACCTTCGTGAGTTTGAAATCGTTCATCGGGAGTTTTTGAATATATTTGAAGAGGAGGAAGTCAAGATGACGCCAACGAATCCGCCTGCAATGACACGAATCATGCACGACAGCTGGAAATCTGGAGCAGTATGGTTCTGGCATTGTATTACGTCTGTAAATGCCGCGTGGTCTCTATTCGACGATCATATCGGTCCTAGATTTCTTCCTCTCTCTACAGATTCCGAAGGAATACTTTCACAGTATTGGTGTCAGGGTTCTATTCTGGTTGCTGGGAGAAAGGTCGCTGAGCGGGAAGAATATGTAAAACAGTTACAAGTTCTCTTTGACGAAAAGGCAGGCCTCTCCACTGAGGGAGAGACTCGTAACTAAGTCTAACTTTGGTAGAAGCACCGGCTCAAACAGATGTTGTTGGTCATTCAAACCTATGCCTTCTCCTTGTCCTTATCTCTTTCTCTGTCCTGTCGCTCTTTCCATTCCTGCTCCTTCGCTGCCTTTTGTTTCTCCTCTCTCGCCCTCCGCTTTGCTTCCCGCTCATTTTGGGCGCTCTTTCCAGATGAGATCGTAGCCGCCAGGTCCTTTGCAATGCCACTCACAGCAACATTTGCCTGCAAAATAGTCAGCCTCAGTCTCGTTAATATATGATTTGCTTCCCCTGTACTGTGACTCCACCGGCTTGAGTCAGCCATGCTGGTTATTGCTAGTGCAGTTGCTTTTATTTGGTTGAGGCCTTATCGTGGTATGATGATGTCCAAGTAACGTGCAGGCCGCCCCTCCAATGGTTGCCTAATCAGCCGAATCGCGTGGCCGGCTCGGGCCGGATCATTTAAAAGTTTGTGCCTTTTCAGCCTTTGGAAAGATTTTTTCCAAACCTCAGCCACAGCTGACTCCAGGCGCCTAAGGCCTTAATTATACCGTATTATTTGATCAGGCTAGTTTAGGCCAATGCTCGCTAATTATCATAAATCCTGAAGCTAAAATATGTGGGGTTTTGTATCACTCTCCTCGCACGGCGTAACTCCCAGACTGTATTATTTTCCTCTCTAAGTATCTTCAAAACTTAGAGCCATATTCTTTCTTTATAAAACCTTTTCCTAAGTGCTCCGAATTTTAAAGAGACTCCAATGGTCGCGATTAAGTAGGGGGGAACAGCGGAAGCGGCGATAAGTGGCATGATTAGAACGATCGACAGCATGAACAACCACAGTCTTTGTCTTGTCGTTAAGAGGTCCCCTTAGCAACTGGGCGGTTGTGATAGCCAGGGTAGGTTGTGCCAGGGTTCTTGCCAGCATCGTCGGTGTAGCTCTGGAGGTGGTTCTTCGATGGGGCAGTATTTGCTTCAGCGGCCTCTCTCAGCATTGGCCTGGTTGTCACTGGCAAGATAAAAAGAGTGTCGTTGACTTCATCTCCAGCTTCAAACCAGTGGGTATCAGCCTGCATCTGGTGATCTGCTTTAGCCTTCTCTGCCGGTGCCATCGTAGGCAATTTGTTTTGATTCAATTGAATCATCTTGTGGCAGAGTGGTATCAATGGCAGCTGGGCGACCATTCGTCTCTTGAGCGTGCCAATATCTTGTGGCAGGTCTGTTAACTCATTGAGGGAGTTTATAAGGACAAGGCCTTCACGTAACACAGCAAAGGCCTTCCGGGATATGTTAAACGTTTCAGTGTACAAGGCCAAAAATTGCTCAAAGTTGGTCATCAGTTTTGATAACCGATTGTGTTCAACAGGTTCAGATTCATCCTCTCTAAGGAGAACTGTGTCTTCGATGGCGGTTTCAACGGGAGGAGGCATTGTGCCGTCGAGGAACTCCTCTGTAAGGACACAGGGAACCCAGCTCACAGTAATAGCATATGAGAGTGCGAATCGGAGGCTAAACAGATGCTATCCTATAGGTCTACTACGAAGGATACAAAAAATATGAAGAGAGGAACCCCCGTTGAGTCAATTTCCTTAAGTACCCGAAACGGGTCGGACTCGGATAACCTACCCTAATGCTCCCCACGTGACCGTAACCTGCCCGACTCTGACGCTTTCCATCACTGAGGGCTTTGGCATCCTTACATCCTCAGAAGGGAACTTGAGATCAGCAGAATCGGTATCATCTTCCTTGTCATTAGGGCCAGGATATGTGCTGGCATCTTCGCCCATTGGGATATCCTTGGATAGAACCTCTTCAACTGTTTTTTTCACTGAGTCCTTCAAGATTTTCCAGCCCATGCACGCTGCTCCTATCATCATCATTATCATCATCACTATCACCATAGTCAAATGTAGTATCATCAAATTGATCATCTTCTATTTCATCGTCTCTATTTGCCTGTGTATTTGATGCCTGCTGCCTCGACCTATCTGCCACTGATGCCCTCCACTGGGGAAATAGAGGCGCGAGTAATTCTGCCCTCCTCCATACTCAACTTTAGTGTGCGCCACGGGGGACAGACCCCGTCGGGGGACCTAAACCGGACCGGACCACGGTCCGGTCTGAAGCTCATAAACCGCGGTTCCCCGTCGGTCTGCCAAGACTGTCATCACTGTTACGGCTACGGTAATGTGACATCATGTTTACAGGACCAGGGCCTAGTAACATGATGTGTGAGTCACAGGGGGCAAGCGGGGTAGGCTGCCATGTGACGGGGCTAATGGATAGTTGCAGAAACTAGTGGATATGGGATATTTGAGCTATCCACGAACTATCCTGAATATCTAGCTATCCGCCAACTATCCAGATTACCCATGAGGCACGACGCCACTATATAAGTAGATAGTATTTCCTTAGATAGGAGCTTCGTGCTCAACTCAATATAGTATTCTTTACAATACTGTAACGTGTTACTTGGAAAGCCTTTGTGTCTAATCCCCTGCCTCCTCTGTCAAGTCAACCTTACGCAAGAAACCTCTGTGTCTTCTATCGTTTAGAAGTCAGCGTTACAATCACGTGATGACTGGGTTAGTTGACAATGACGTGTAAATATTCTATATAATGACTTATTTTCCATGTGTAATTTGTAGTAGATGCAATTACTATAATTATTACTATAGATCTATATTACGCCATGACTCCCAGATTTCCTGACCAGACCGCTAATACATCAACCTTTGACTTAATTGATTCAGAGCCAGAAGATGTAGAGGGGCTACCCCCAAGCCACGACGGGTGTGATTACACCCTACCTTCACTTACAAGGCCAAAGGAGGACAATAGGGCCCAGTCACCTTATAGGGAAATGGTCGAAACAATTGAGTTAAGCCAAGTCCGTAACAAGTCCCTGACTTGGGTAACGAACTTGGCGGCGTTGCCCTTGGCAGTAGGACTGTGATTGCTGTACCCTTTGTAATGGAGAGCCTCGTCGCGATTGAATAAAATCAAACTGGTTCTGGTTCCGCTTTGTCCTATCATAGGTATTTGGCTGCCTTGGGCTTCGGTCTGGAATATACTGTAGCGTCATCTTCTCTTGGATATTGTCAATTAGAGCATGATACTCAAACAATATTTCCTCATCATTCATATAAGTTGAATCAATGATATCTGTAACAGAGTAGTGTTCAAATAGCTGTTCCCATTCAATCTTCTGGTGGTAGAAGACAAGCATAATCCCCCGTATTGTATCAGGGGTCATTTCATTGCGCTTATAATTACAGACAGTGCAGGCAGCATTAAAGACAAGCTCAACAAGAGCTTCTGAAGCAGGAATACAAAGTATATCACTGGCCATAGCAGCAAGTCCAGGGAATAGTCTTTCGTTCTCTTTCCACCATTTTAATGATGGCTGATGGGAGGGTGCTAATAAAAGTTAGTAGTGATTACTATAATTATTACTATAAACTTATGGTGGGCAAGATATCGCTCAATCTCTCCTCCTTGATCTTCATTTTGACTAATGGAATTATAGCTCCGCTTCCAATTTAACATTAGAGCCATTGTGTCATACTGACATTCGTTGCACTCAGTTTGCTATCAAACTCAAGAGCAAACTTAGAAATCTCCTCCTCAAACCTACAAGTCACCATACATATCTTGGCTTATCACACCAACAACAGAAGCAATACTACTCAACGATTGCTGCAAACTCTTCTACTACATCTGTTTATGCTACATACATCACGGCATATTATTTGAACACTCATTGAACAAGTTATTAAGAAAATCTCCTCCTTAAGGGGGTGGGCCAATACTACCACATGGCATATCTCTACCAACTAGAGGCCTAGGAACATGACCGATAGCTCTAGAAGCTTCTACAACCCTCTATGATTCATTACACGTCATCGCTCCTTAGTTACCCACAAGATTGGTTAAGTTATGACATAATTTATCTATAGGTACTCTGACCTTGGACCTCCTTTTCACTTCCTATAGGCTAGGAACCCAAGAGATGGTTCTATGGGATTCTCTTACGTTCACTACATGATTAGCAAGCTAGTTGTGGGTCGCACTTGATTTCTAATACATTTACCAAGCCTGGTTAGTCATGGAAAGTCTTGGAAAATGAGAGAACTACACTCCTTTGGCATAAATAGGATTGCCCTTTCCTTAAGAAAGGGCAAGCAGGCAATACAGTAAATCGACTATCACATACTTCCCCGTCTTTTACAAGCTTCCAAGCATTCATCTTGTTACTCCTTGTTTCTGAAAAGTCAGTGAGGTGTTAACCTCTGACTTACCCCTGAGTTCCCAGACTCAACATTTGTTGCAACTTGTCTGAACAACTTCACTACATCACACACCTCATTGCTGCGTTGTGGAATAGTCTAAGCTACAACCCTTTGGCTCTGTTTCCTAAGACAGTGTGTTGTCTTAGTAAAATCATCCCTTCCTTGGGTGGCTAGATTCTCACATCTGGTGCACCCACCATTACAAGTACCATGGAGCTCAACATATTATATGCTTCATTTAGCGTTGCTAGAGCGCATTGGTGTAGTTGGAAGGCGACGGCGACCCATGAACTTAGGACCCCTAGTACCGTCTTGTGCCATTTCGGAATCTGAACTTGAAGTCACAGGGTCGGCGTCGTCATAGGGTTCGTCATCCATATTGCCCTGACGAGGTGTTACTATAAGTATTACTATAATATAAGAGGAGTGGTTCACTTACCAGTCTACCCGAACAAATGTTGGGTCAGATCCAGAAGAAGCTGTATTTGTCGGCAAAAGTCACGGTAGTGGCTTGTCACATAATAACAGAAAGGTTGAGGGAGGAAAACCCAAATTTGGGTGGGTGTTGTGTTCTGGGTGAACTGCTGGCTCGCTTGGCGAAATATCTTGAGCTTCACCCATTATATGGTAATAGGCGTATTAAGTGAATTCTAACATAACAATACACAACAACAATAGGAATCCTAAGCTTCTGCCACCACCCCAAACTTCCTACTTCTGCCACCACCCCGAGCTTCCTACTACTGCTACCACCCCGAGCTTCCTTCTTCTGGATTTCTGAGCTTCTCCCACCACAGTCGCCTTCTTCTGTCCACCCACCCACCCTCCACCACCAAGGTAAGTCTTTACTCTCTCCTACCATCAATTACTTTATAGTAACCATTATAGTAATCACCCATCACCCACCATGGTCAGAAAGCGCAAAGAATCAACCGAGAAGTCGACCAATGAGAACACAAGCGTGTACAGAACCGCCGCAACAAGAACTCAAGGTCGACAATGCAAAGAGGGCTGATACAGCGGCTACTGCATACACTATCAAGAAAATCCGGGAGACACAAGCTTTCAAAGCCCTTAGCCCAGTTGAACAACAAGAGAAGATTCAGTCTAAGAAGGACGAGGTGCGACTCCGACAGTAAGCTCCCTTCTCCTATGTTATAGTAATCATTATAGTAACCAGGAAATAGCATTCAGGACGGCAACCATGCTTCTATCGTTCAACAACACCTTGGGATTGGAGAAGGTGGAGGAGCGTACGCAGTGTGGGACGACAACAACCATGTCTGGGAAACCGAAGATGAGGACGATGAAGTTGCCCAGGAAGCTATGTGGAGAGCTGACGAGTTGGCCAATGGTATTGGGATTAAAGAGATTGAGAAGGTCCAACTGGAAGTGGAGACCCAGACTGAAGCCTCAACTAAGGTATGATCAGTGTAATGTGGGTGCACCAGATGTGAGAATCTAGCCACCCAAGGAAGGGATGATTTTACTAAGACAACACACTGTCTTAGGAAACAGAGCCAAAGGGTTGTAGCTTAGACTATTCCACAACGCAGCAATCAGGTGTGTGATGTAGTGAAGTGGTTCAGACAAGTTGCAACAAATGTTGAGTCTGGGAACTCAGGGGTAAGTCAGAGGTTAACACCTCACTGACTTTTCAGAAACAAGGAGTAACAAGATGAATGCTTGGAAGCTTGTAAAAGACGGGGAAGTATGTGATAGTCGATTTACTGTATTGCCTGCTTGCCCTTTCTTAAGGAAAGGGCAATCCTATTTATGCCAAAGGTGTAAGGATGCCTCCTTACACGGGGTACCCTCGGACCCGTAAGACAACGCGGAATAGGCGACATAGTAGTATAGCAGCATAGATGTTCTAGGGTCGGGGTCGATTCGGGCGGCAGACGGGAGTGGATCTACCGGTACGCTAAGGCCTAGCCGAGTCGGACCCCATTTAGGTACATAAGGGGTAGGAAGCTATAAGCTCCCCTTTCATCTTTTTTGTATCCTTCGTAGTAGACCTATAGGATTGCACCGACTCATATCCGACTCGCACTCCCATATGCCACTTCTCGTGATACGGTGCCCTGCGTCCTTACATTATACAAAAAAGATCACGCCTGCCGGGGACGGCCGTACTCAAAGAATATCCCACAACCGGAACGACTCAGGAGAACTGTCGAAACACCACCGACCGCGACTCGGTGACATTTCGAAGTAGAGACCTGATGACTCCAAATAGCCGTGACCCCAGAGAACTCACGGACAGCCAGTGGATCAGGGTTTGATCCTGCAGAGCAAGCTGGTAAAGTCGCCGACGCGTTGGCGCCGAATAGGATACGAGATCCTAAAGAACCCCCTCAAGCACAGAGGCAATTGTGAACAAGAGTGTTGATAGCTACGAGCTACCGGAAGTCAAACTCTTCCGTATCGAGTCGCAGTCGATACACCCCCGAATCAAGATGTCGCGCAAGACGACACAAAACCCACCACCCGAC